AAAAAATAATAATAATAATTTTTTAAAGATCAACTACATCAGACGATTAACTTGGAATTCTTCTAGACGACTTCCAACATCTCATACGACTCAGATAACTTACTGGGGCTATATTCGTAAAAATGATTTATGTTTTTTGTTTGGTCACAAGGGGCTTGTTGTAATTTCACAGGACTTTTAAGTTAGTTTTGCATTTGATTCAAGTTTGGGGATAGTGTTTTATTTAAAATCATGTTTTGAGTCATATTTGGCAAATTCTCCTTTATCATATTTTTAATAGTATTATATAATTATTATATTATTAAAATGAATTACTAATAATATTATATTTTTACAAGATAAGATAATTCTTATGTATTATGTTTTATCTTAAAATTATATTTTATATTATAAAATTTTAACATTAAGATATAAAAATATAAATAAATATAAACCAACCAAAAAAATGTGTATAACTATGTTTTCTAAAATATTTCTGACAAGTGAGTGTTGTCATTTATAATTGATTTGATGTTTGATTTAAGAGATGGGCGTTCGGGTACTCATTTAGCTTCAGTTTGGGTCTAATTCAGATTTCGAGGTTAAAGATTTCAGCCTTGTTTGGATATTTGCGGGTTCAAATAACAGTTTAAATTATTTTAAAAAACTAAATTTATATATACTTAAATTTCTCAAAAAAAAATTAAAAAAGGAAAAATAATATATATAGGATATAAAATTGAAAATATATGCCGAAAACTTAAATTTAACATAAAATTGGTTTGGCTTGAAAATTTAAATGGAGAATTAATTTATATTTTAAATATTTTTGTTGTTTTGAGTATTGTTGAACTATTTTAGATATTTACTTTTGATTATTTTTATATATTTTCAGATATTTGGGAAAAATTTTAAACATCTTATATATTTTGGATATTAATTCTAAAAGTAGCAATATATTTAAGTATAGAAATCTGTTTAAGATATATTCAGATATCCAAAATATTTTTGTTCAGATCAGATTCGGTTCTGGTTGTTTAGATACCAAAATTTTGAATTTGTTCAGATATTTAATTGTTCGAATTTGATACTATTTTTTAGATCGGATTCGGTTCAGCTTTTCGGTTTCGAATTATTTTCCTAGCACTATTTGATTTAAACTTCTAAAAACCTAAATAACTTACTATGCTGGTTTTTGAATTACTAAACCATAAACTAATAAGTATTCATAAGAAATTTATGTTTGCATGTACGGATAAAACACCTAGTACAAAATTACAAATACATAAATTCCGTACAAAATGATAATTTTTTTTTAATATAATTTTGTTAATCAAAATCTGACGTTTTGAAAATACGGATCATAACTTTTTACATAGAAAATGTCTAAAAGCATGTTATCCTAGGTCTTTATTGAGTTTTTAGGGCATATGCAATGGTGTATTCCTCCATTGAATCCTTAGCATTAGTTTATTGATTTTTTTTTTGTTTGAATAGTTAAGGATTCTTATCAAAATCGAGTGTCCAATGGTGTTCCCGATGATGAAGTTCTTAAGAATAAAAAAATATTAAAAAAAAAAAAAATTTAACCGAAAATTAAATTTTATTAATTGCATAAATAAAAATAAAGATACAATAATTAAACATAGAGATATACTAATTATTAATCTTCATCACCAAATTTATTCCAAATATTTTCGACTAAATCAGATTTCAATCGTTCATGCATTTGCCTATCATGAAGATCATTCCGAGCGCCAAACAAATTATGCAGATTTGTAGGCCTCGCGGGTTCCACATGTGAACTTCTGGTGACGTTTCCTTCTTCAAATTCAGATATATCGTACTGTATGTATCCATCTCGTTCATTTTCAACTATCATATTGTGTAATATGATACATGCTCTCATAATCTTGCCTATCTTTTCTTTCTCCAATGTAAGAACCGGGTTTTTCACAATTGCAAATCGAGCTTGCAATACTCCAAAAGCCCGCTCCACATCTTTTCGGGTCGATTCTTGAACTTTAGCAAATAACTCTTCTTTAGGAGATTGGGGGAGTGAGATAGATTGGATAAATGTTGACCACTTTGGATATATACCGTCTGTGAGGTAGTATGCCAACTTATAAATGCGTCCGTTGACCTTATACCTTACCCTGGGAGCTCGACCTTCTAAAATGTCATCAAACACCGGAGACCGATCGAGGACATTGATATCATTCAAGGTACCTGGAGGACCAAAAAAAGCGTGCCATATCCAAAGGTCGTGAGAAGCTACAGCCTCTAAGACAATTGTCGGTTTTCCTGATCCACGTGTGTACTGTCCTTTCCAAGCGCTCGGACAATTTTTCCACTCCCAATGCATACAGTCAATGCTCCCGACCATCCCAGGAAACCCTCGTTTCTCTCCAACATCGAGTAGTCGTTGAAGATCCTCCTTTCTGGGTCGTCGTAGATACTCATCTCCGAATAACTGTATTATTCCGTCAGTGAAATTATGTAAACAAGAAAGTGCAGTACTCTCACCAAGTCGGAGATATTCGTCAACTGTGTCAGCCGCAGAACCATAAGCGAGCATACGAATTGCTGCCGTACATTTTTGGAGTGAAGAAAGACCAAACCTTCCCGTTGCATCTCGTCTTTGCTGAAAGAATCGAAAGGACACTGTTAAGGCATTGACAATACGCAAGAATAAGTCCTTATTCATGCGGAAACGTCGTCTGAATAATTGGGACGAGAATGTCGAATCTTCTCGGAAGTAGTTGTTCCATAATCGGTCGTATCCTGCTTCACGGTTTCTTTCTATATAAGCACGGCTCTGTTGGTTACTGCTTTGTGCGTCGACAATGTCGTTGAATGTATCTTCAAAGATTTCGTCGAAAACTTCGTCGAATCTTTCTTCGAACTCTTCGGATGAAGATGATGACATTTTACGGTATCCTGGTTAAAAAAAATAGATATTTTATTTATGTGTAATAAAAGATACATTCAGTTATGTATAAAAAGATGATATATTTGATTTATGTATTAAAAGGTGATATATTTGATTTATGTATAAAAAGATGATATATTTGATTTATGTATAAAAAGATGATATATTTGATTTATGTATAATAAAAGATGATGACATTTTACTTGTGTTCGATTAGTACCAAATTCAGTTCCAAAAAAATACACATAAACTTCTCATTTGAAGCAATCTAATTTGAAGCAATCTAATTTGAAGCATCACAGGTTACTTGTGTTCGAGTAGTATACTAAATTCCTAAGTGTACACAAATTGATTACAACCTGAAACCATTACATATAAGAGTTACCTAAATAGAATTGGAGTTGCTAATAAAATTCGTGTGAACAACAGGCTCGCCACCGCAATAGCAAGTCATAGGGATTCCTTCATCATCCTCAGATTGCGGTGGGTACTCGGAGGCCTCAGCAATAGCGTCTCGACTGTCGGCTCCATCGGCGTACAGAGCAGCTTCTGCCTCAAATATATAGTCGTAGTCCTCTGATGAAGAAGGCTGACTGTAAGAATAGTCTTGACCCATGGTTCTTTGCCCTGCAAAAAAAAACAAGTTTAATAAATGTAAGCAAGAACAAACACTAAACACTAAGACTAAAAACACAGAGCAACAAAAGAGAAAGAACACAGATCAAGAAGAAAAACGTTTTTTTATAAAGTAAACCCATGTAAACCCGACTAAAAGAAAAGAAAGCAACGTTGGAGTCTATTGAGAACAAAAACGTATTGAAATAGAGCAAGAAGAAATACTAAACACATAAGATAAAACACACAGAGCAATTGTAAACACACAGAAATTGTAACATCATGACTTAACAGAGAACAAGACGGAACCTAATCTAAGCAATTGAAGACAGAGCAACAAGGAACCTAAATAATCTAACCAAAACGAAACACACAGCAAGCAGAAAAACTTCAAAAAGACTAAGCATGAGAGAGTAAACATCAAGAAGAGCTAGAAGACTAAACATCATTACTAAACATTGGGACTATAACACAGACCGTAAACAAACAAGAAGAAACCTTAATAACAAACAAGAACAGCCACAAGGAACCTAATTCGAAGAAAGCCCCAAATCGAAACCCTAATTCGAAGAAAGCCCCAAATCTTGCCTAAACCCTAATTCGGAGAAAAGCCCCAAATCTTGCCTAAACCATAATTCGAAGAACCACCGAGAGAAAGTAATTGAAAACCCGAATCTTTCCCAAACCCTAATTCGAACAAAGCCCCAAATCGATTCAAATCGAAATACGAAGGTTGCATGGAGGCGATAACAACAAGGGACCTAATCTATGCCTCAAATCTACCACAAAAGAATACGATCTCCCTTTGAAGATCACAGAGAACACAAACTAGAAAGATAACCCGAAATCGCCTTTTCCTCTTCACTCTGATTTTTTTTTCTATGTTTGGTCGGGAATGATTTTTTTTCTCGCTATACACAAGCACAAAAGACCCCGACCCAATTAGCTTTCGACACGTGCAGTAAGGATCAAGTCCTTCTACCTCTTATTTACGGACTGATCCATCGAGTTATTTGCCAAAATAATATTAAAAAAATCAATTAATCCTAAGGATTAACAACAAGGACCGACGAAAAATCACCGTTGCGGGTGACCTTAGTGGACCTCCACAAAATTCTTAAGGATTGGGTACAAAAACTACTAATTAAAAATTGATTTTAGTGAGTTTCTTACACTGTTCACGGGTCCCACTAACATGTGACGGTCCGCGATTGGTGTGCTTTTTAATTTATTTTTTAGACCATAGTTTTAATATCATATTAAGGTTCAAGTGATAGAGATAGCTGTCCTTACGAGTTACGACAAGTCCCTTGATGGGAATAGTACGACTTTTCTACATTCTCTTTTTCATTTTATGTTAAACTGAATTCATAAATCACGGCAACTTTTCTACGTTCTCCACACACCATAAATTGATTTAGTTCCTCATAAACTAAAATCTACAAAAAAGGTTTTAGAGAAAAAAGAGAGAGCCATGTTCTTGAAGCTCCTCACCATCATCTTCTTCGTCAATCTACTCTCTCAACTCATAAAATCCTCTTCCCAATTTCTCGACAACTTCACTTACAATGGCTTCCACCCTCCATTAAGTCTCATATCCCTCCAAGGAATCGCTAGCGTCACACCCAGCGGTCTATTAAAGCTAACAAATACAACATCGCACCAAACCGGTCACGCCTTCTATAACAAACCAATCCGGTTCAAAGATTCTTCAAACAACACCGTGTCGTCTTTCTCCACAACATTTGTCTTCGCCATCCGCTCTCAGTTCACCACACTTAGCGGCGACGGCATCGCCTTTGTCGTAGCTCCTAACCCCAGCCTCCCGTTCGCAAAGTACGGTCAATACCTAGGACTCTTCAACCCATTGAACAACGGTAATGAAACGAATAATATATTCGCTGTTGAACTAGACACAATCCAGAATAACGAGTTCAATGATACAAACTATAACCATGTTGGGATCGATATCAATAGCTTGAAGTCAGTGAAAAGTTCACGCGCAGGGTATTGGGACGAGAGAGGTCAGTTTAAGGATCTTACTTTGATTAGTGGTAAGCCAATGCAGGTTTGGGTTGATTACAATGGTCGTACCCATCAGATCAACGTAACAATGGCTCCGTTTAGAAATGATAAACCTGCAAAACCGCTTGTCTCTACTGTCAGGGATCTATCCCCTGTTCTTTTGCAAGATATGTTCGTAGGTTTCTCGTCTTCAACTGGTTTAATTAAGTCAGAACATGTTATCCTTGGGTGGAGTTTTCAGGTGAATGGGAAAGCTCCCCCATTAGCCTTACAGAGACTTCCAAAATTGCTAGAGTCGCAGCTCAGGAGATCCGGAATCTCACCGTTTATTCCAGTGTCGGTTCCTCTTGTGTTTATCCTTTCAATCATCTTCCTTGTGTGCTTCATATTAAGGAGGAGCAGGAGAAAGTTTTCAAAGAAGCTAGAAGATTGGGAAACAGAGTTCATGAAGAACCGACTCAATTTCAAAGACTTGTACTATGCCACCAGAGGATTCGATGAGAAGAACCTTCTTGGAGTTGGCGGGTTTGGAAGCGTTTACAAAGGTGTCATGAAAAAGAAAGATATCGCCGTGAAAAGAGTCTCCAACGAATCCCGACAAGGGTTGAAAGAGTTTGTGTCTGAGATCGTGAGTATTGGTCAGATGAGTCACCGGAACTTAGTTCCTCTCGTAGGTTATTGCCGCCGGAAAAAGGAGCTTCTTCTGGTGTACGAGTACATGCCCAATGGAAGCTTAGATAAGTATTTGTATAATAGTCCGGAGGTTACCCTCGACTGGAAACAGAGAATTAAGGTCATTAAAGGTGTGGCATCTGCCTTATTCTTCCTCCACGAGGACTGGGAACAAGTGGTGATTCACCGTGACATCAAAGCCAGCAACGTCTTATTAGATGCAGATCACAATGGGAGACTTGGGGATTTCGGTTTAGCCCGGTTGTCCGGTCATGGTACGGATCCTCAGACCACTCACGTTGCTGGAACGTGGGGATACCTAGCCCCTGATCACATTAGAACAGGAAAGGCCACTACCGCTACTGATGTTTTTGCATTTGGAGTGCTCCTACTAGAAGTTGTGTGCGGTAAACGTCCTATCGAGATTCTAAACGAGAGTGGTGACAGGGTTTTGCTGGTGGATTGGGTTTTTGGATTTTGGAATGAGGGAAACATTCTCGATGCTAAGGATCCCAAACTAGGGACAGAGTATGACCAAAGGGAGGTTGAAATGGTTTTGAAGCTAGGTTTGTTGTGCTCTCACTTCAACCCCCAGGCTAGACCAACCATGAGACAAGTGTTATATTACCTAAGTGGAGATGCAATGTTACCAGAACTTTTGCCTTTGGACTTGCGTGGGAGCGAGATGATGTTGGGAACCCACCACCGACCTAGCGAGATAGGCATGTTTACATGTGAATCTTCGATGGTTGATTCTGTACTCTCTAGTGGGAGGTGATTTTTGAGAAGTCAGAACATCTGGGTGCGTTACGTTACAGATTGTATAAAATTACTCATCGTACGGGATATGAGACGATGTTGTACGTGAAATAAATGATACGGTTTGAAAAAATATTTAATTACTAGGTGTTTAAAAATCTTAAAATATGTTATATTAAATGAGAATTCATGACTAATTTTTTTTTTTTATATGACTAATTTCATGCGGGATTTTTTCTAGTTAGACCACCACTAACAAAATTATTAAATGTATTTTATTTTTTTGTAACTACTTTAATTATAATATCTTTTGATATCTTTTTATTCTAAATAGAAATAAATATAAATTTTTTTAAAAATATGTTAAAAATATTTAGCAAGATCTTAATTTAAAAAACATTATGTAAATACTTCACTAATTTCGAATTATTAAGGAAATACAATTATATAATAATATATATTCAGTTGTCTTTTATAAAATAATAAACAAATTCTATTATTTTTATCTATTTTATGTCCTAATTTATCATATTAAATGAAAATTATTATACTAAAGTAAATGTTAAAAAATTATATTAACTAATAAATTAATCAATTTTATTTTTATTTTTATAAATATAAAATATTAATGTTAAAAATATAAAACGAGTTTTCAAAATGGGTTAACATTAGTAACTATATAATAAATATATAAAATTAAAATATCTTAAACTTTATATATACGATAATATATTATCTAAATAAACAAAAAAAAGTTTGCTAAACGGTAATCTAACTTTGAAACTCATATCATAAGTATAAATTAAATATAAAATAATTTTCAAATATTTTTTTCATGCATACTATTGATTTATTTAATAATCAAATACAAATCAAATAATAAATATATAAAAAGCTATTGAAAAAAATTGATTAGGCTGTAAAATTATTGTGTTTGTAAATTCATATAAATATTTAAATATATGACTAATGTATCTAATAATATAAAACAAATATATATATGCATATAAAATGGAAATAAAACCAGCGCGGTTGCACGGATTAAGAATCTAGTCTTATATATTAAAACAGAATCCATGATTTCATTTCATGTGTTATTTGTTTTTAATTTAGACCATCATTTAGAAATTTTCTTAAATGACTTTGATTAAGACTAATAATATATAGAATCTTTAAAATACTTTAGTCATGTTCTCTTTTGATATTTTTTATTTTAAATATAAATATATCTGTATACAAAATCTAACAAATCTGTTTTAAAAGATTTTTACAAGATCTTCATTTTTGATATTATCTTAAATATTTTCATTAATTTTAAAAATAACTAGACCTTTGACCCATGCGACCGCACGGGTATTAGTTTTATTTTTTTAATTTTTATATTAGATGAATTTTTTGTAAAAATTAATTGTATTACATTAAGTTTTTTTTTGTGTGTGTGTTAACAATTTATAGTATCAAAAATATTAGGTATCATACAAACAAATCTAACATGTAGACGATATATTGAAAATATTTTTCAGTTAAAGATACATCAAATCTTGAAAAGTAAGAGTTAAGATGGTATACAAAAAAATGATAAATTATTTATAACATTTCTAAGAAAAAGCCTGATGTTCAAATTATATAAAATTTTTAATATATAAAACATTTTTGAAAATTTTAAAATAAAAAATGAAGTATCAATTAAATGGTTACAAATTACTTATGGGTTTAATTTTGACAGAAGAATACCGAAATTTTGTTGTTTGGTCCGTGCAAGTGTTTGTTTTTATATATTTTATAAGTGATAATATATATTTCTACATTTACCCGTTTAAATAATTGTTTAAGACGACAATTTAAACACACAATTTTATAGTTTATATTGAGTAATTTTATTTTATCTTATAAACTATCATTGTGTCATACTTATTTTAAAAATATGACCCGTATATCTGCAAAAATGTTTTTTTTATATTTTCTTAATGTATAACTAAATTGTTGTATCTACTATTTAAAATATATGGTCCTATATATTTCTACTTTTTAACTTTTATTATTCTGAATTTACCTTGAACTATTATTTATATAAAAATATACATAACATAATATGTTTATATTAATCTATGTATTATATATTATATAAATGTTTATTTTTGTGACTTTTATTTTAGTTATTACTTATAAATAATAAAAATATAATTATATATCTTTGAAAACAATAATGTTCATTAACTATTTAAAGGTATTTAGATAATTAATAAGAAAAAAAATCCTAAAAGGTAGGTTAATTAATATTGGAATTAATTATTATGTATATGGAATTAGTAAAAAAATTTCTATAGAATTTATTTATTTAATTCCGAAAGGTATATATGAAAATAATTATTTTCATTAGTTATTGTTGTCATAAATTTTTTAGTTAAAATTTGATTTTGGAAATGCATTAATTAAAGTGAAAAGACAAAGAATCCTAAAAGGTAGGGTAATTAATAACTTCAGTGGCATGCTATTGTAAATAAATGTGAAAACTAAGGGTTATTTTATATGAGTACTTCTCTTTTAATAATATAGATTTGAAATATTATGATACTTTAATATATTCAGTTCAAGTTTATAAAATGAAAAAAATAATTATATCATATTATCTGTTATATAATCATAACCAATCATATTAAAAGAAAATTATTATATTGAACTAAATATAATAAAATTATATTAAATTCATAAATTTATATTTTTCGTAAGTATAAAATATTTATGTTTAAAAATAAAATCTAATATATTGGTAAGACGGATTTACGTTAGCAAACTATATAATACATGTATATAAATTAATATGTATTTCATTAAATCTAATAATAAAAAAATGTGCAACTACATTAATCATGATATCTTTTCATTTTAAATATAAGAATATATTTATATATAAAATTTTTAAAATTCTGATAAATCTGTGTAAGAATATTTTTACAATAACTTACTGTATTTTAAGTTATTATTTACAGAATGAAAAAAATAAATTATATCCTATTTTATTTACTTAGTCATAATTATCATGTTAAAAATAACTATTATATTGAACTAAATATGATAAAAGTATATTAAATTGATAAATTTTATTTTCATAAGTATAAGCTATTTATTTTAAAAATATAATATGATGACAGTTTAAAATTAGCAAACAATATAATATATATCTAAAAATTAGCATATCTTAGACTTTTGTATTATATAAACTATATAATATGATCATTTAAATTGTTTTTTTAATATGTTAATTTGAAGGTATATTATTAGAACATAAGTTTTTATAAGATGTATATTGTTTTAGTATATTAGAAGATTTCTATATTATGTACATCGCAATTTAAATTTATATATGTTTGAATTACATTACATAAAAACTTATGTTCTAATAATATACCTTCAAATTAACATATTAAAAACAAACAAAAAAATTATTTAATATTCAATCGTTTATTTTTATCATTCTATAAATATCTAATACTAAATGCTTAAAGATGGTGTATATGAATATTTTAAATGTGTCATAAAATTCAAAGTTTACTAAACAATAATTATTTTTTTTACTACTACTTATAACACTACAAGAAAATGTGGGCTTAGCGACCACAAGTTACGACGACAAAACTGTAGTCGTAACTTTACGTCTACTTACTGACTAGATAACAATCAAAAGTATAATCTTCGTAAAGAGGACGTAAAGTTTTATTCGTAAATAGAAGGTAAAGTAACATTTTTTTTACGACAAAATAAAAATGTGGTTGTAAATAAGTCGTTACTGACAACCATTTTACGACTAAACATTTAGCATCTAATTTACTTCTCAATTACGTCAAGAAGTAATTAATTCGCAGTAAAATGATCTGGTAGTAAATTTGTGGTAACAGTCCATGTCGAAATTTTCCTATAAATATGGTCTCATCTCTTAATTTTTAGATCCACCAAAAACCAAAAACAAAACAAGTTCGAGTAAAAAACATGTCAGATATTTATGAGCTTCAGATTTGGATGTATGCACATAGAGATTCTAAGGGAAGGGTGACAAACGAGTTCCTCAGCGGGGCAGAAATATTCATGTACCAGGTCGGAAACACGCCTCTCACACAAGAAACGAGTAAAATGTTATGTCCTGTCATAAGTGCAAGAATACCAAATTCGCTCTTAGTGAAACAGTTTGTAAACATATAGTAAATAGAGGATTTACTCCACATTACGAGATTTGGTTTCATCATGGAGAAAGTGATAGTAGGAATGAAGCTCGTAGTAGTAATCAGTTTAAAAATGTTCGTAACAGAGAACAACATTTGCCTTCGGAAAGTTACCTTCATGAGAATCAGGTGGTAGATCATGATAGAATGCATGATATGGTTACTGATGCATTTCGTGAAACAAACTCAGTAATTTCTGTAGAAGTAGAAAATGTAGAGGTAGCAGTATAAATGTAGAGGGGCCTAATTTGGAAGCCAAAAGATTTTATGACATGTTAGCCGCCACTAATCAGCCAAATTATGAAGGTTATAGAGACGGTCTTTCTAAATTATCATTGGAAGCTAGGATGATGAATATCAAAACTGACTATAACTTACTCGAAATTTGTATGGATGCATGAATTGAGTTGTTTAAAGAGTATTTTCCTGAAGATAATGTGTGTGCTGAATCTTACTATGAGATTCAGAAATTGGTTAATAGTCTTGGCTTACCTTCGAAAATGATAGATGTGTGTATAGATAACTGTATGATCTTCTGGAGGGAAGATGCAGAGTTGTTGGAGTGTCGATTTGCAAGAAGCCACGATATAAACCGCAAGGATGTGGACAGAATAGGGTACCGTACCAGCGGATGTGGTACTTACCTATTACGGATATGCTGAAGAGAATATATCAATCTGAAAAGACTGCAGCAGCAATGAGATGGTTTGAAGAACATACTCAGAATGATGGCGAGATCAATCATCCCTCAGATGCAAAAACGCGGAAACACTTGAATTCGGTGCACAAAGATTTTGCAAGC